GAATATTTCTTCTGCTGCTAAATGATGAACTAGCAATAGGCTGAGCCCTCAACGGTTAACTCTCTCACTTTACAAGGCAGCAGGAATGGAGGGAGATATGCGCTTTCCCCTTTAAGTACACTGCCTTGTTAATTAGATCAGCTTGCTGAGACCACAGCTGCTACAAGCTCCCTCCATCCTGAGCCCTGGTGTGTCCCCCCTGCTCTATGGAAGATGGGGTAAGCGGGGTGCAGGGGAGGGGAACACCCTGACATTAGCCCCCCTCTTCTCCTCCCCCCCCTGCACAGCTGGAGTCTCGGGGAGCAGCTGGGGCCGGGCTGGCGTGCTCAGCTGGAACTGGGGCCAGTGTCCCGGGGCCCGAGCCGCTGGGGCCGCCGGGCGCCGCTCAGCCCGGGCCAGAGGGAGCCGCTCGGCCAGGGCCGTGCCTCCCCGGAGCTCTCCTCCCCCCAGCTTACCTGCTGTTGCCCCCCGCTTGCCCCTGCTTCTTTTCAGACTTCCCGCGAAGATCTGATTCACAGGAAGCAGGGGAGGGGGAGGAGCAGGGGGGCGGAGCGTTCCGGGGAGGGGAGGAGGGGGAAGACAGATGCGGGGCCGGACAGCATGGTAAGGCTGCAGGGGATGGGGGGAGCAGGGAAGGGGCTTTGGCTGCCGAGTGGCGCTTGGCCGCCACTTTTCTGTCTATAAATAGGTGACTGGGGGGAAATCCCGGACATTTTTAGATTTTTAGAAATCCCCCCCCCCGGACGGCTATTTATAGACCGAAAAGCTGTCCAGGGAAATCCGGACATATGGTAGCCCTACTTTTCACAGCAGATTTACTCAGCCCTGTCAAGCCAGAGGACAAATTAAATCTTGGATGGGGAGGTGGGAGGGAGGCAGTGGGCTAGGGCACTGGAACAATTTTTATAGTGGGGATGCTGGAAACCATTGAAATCCTGTATATAATGGAAATCACTTCAAGCCAGGGGGTGTGGTGGTGGGTGGGGGAGTGGTGAGCCCGAAGCCCTGTAATCAGGGGACAGAGTCTGCCCCCACCAACCCGGGGCTGAGTGTTCCAGCTTCAACCCTACCATCCCCAGGAAGGTGGAGAACTCACAACGGCTGTCTGCTTCTCCAGTGTTTGTGGATCCTGAGGGGGTCAGAGCCCAACCCCTCCTAGCAGCCCCACGGGAGGGGCCGCTGCTTTGTCCCTCCCCCCATCACTGCCCAGAAGCCTGTGGCCACAAGAAAAGCCCCTGGTGGCCGCATTTGAGAAATACTTTGGCCTTCCTGAGGCAAGGTCCATGTCTTTTTTTTTTTTCCTTCTCCCCCATCTCATATAGAACTGAGCTCAGTCAGTGCTTAGCAAATATTGGAGGCAGTTTTGCCAGTGTGGAATTTGTAGTTTTTTGTCAAAAATCACTGTTTTTAAAGCTTTTGTGCTATGTTATTTATCTCACATCTGTATTTATGTGTAGTGTAGTGGTTATCATGTTTGGCTAACACGCGAAAGGGCCCTGGTTTGAAACTGGGCAGAGGCAGTTTCTTTTGCCAGAAGCTGGGGATGGGTGACAGGATGGATCACTTGATTACCTGTTCTGTTCATTCCCTCTGAAGCACATGGCATTGGTCGCTGTCGGAAGACAGGATACTGGGCTAGATGGACCTTTGGTCTGACCCAGAATGGCCGTTCTTATGTCTTCGTTCATATGTTAAAATCAAATAATTTGAAACCTTTAGTTGTTCCAGAATGTTAGCGCTTATTAGTAAGAATATTAATAATTAAATGAAATAATTAAAGTGTGAAATGAGCCCCGAAGGTCTCTCTTTCCATGTTCAGGCTTTGATTGGAAGATTATAGCTTACATTGAGTTCAGTTCATGTTTATATAACACTTAGGACTTAACATTTCTATTTAGGATTAATATATTCTTCTTTAAAAATCAGTAACACTTTCAATAATTATCCTAGTGTTGTGGAAACGCGTAATTTCAGATATTTAACACTTCCTATTTGGTATTTGTAATGCTTGTTGATTAGGATGGTTTATGAAATAATTCTATGTATTAAAATATAATTAAAGCCTTTAATAGATCTGCTACTTGATTTGGAAGAAATATAAAATAATGCTTGTAAATTGTACATTTTATTTAAATTAATTACAGATATTTCTTTCAATAAAATCTTCCTTGCTTGGTTTATACAAGTTAAATACAACAACACTTTGATATTGTAGAAATTTTCATACCTGTATAATCCATCCTGGGCCATATTTCCAAATGTTTTTCACATATTCAAATATTATGAAGACTGCATAATAAAGACAAACAACTCTAGGATAGCATAACAATTTATTTCTAGCCTTAAGTGAATTTGCTGCTCATGAAAAATGCTAAGATTTTTCAAACCTGGAAGATGATCTCTTTATCAATAGAGCAGTTATAGCATAGGTAGTAGTGTTGTGCAAGCTTTCTCACGCTACACACCAATGAATCTTAAATCTGATGAAGAGTGACTGTCTGTAGAGGTGAAAGAATAGTTCAATCTCCATGCCATTTAGCTCTTGGCACTTCTGCTGAGACTGCCAGCAAAGGTGATAACTATAATGGTATTTTAAGTGTACATATCACACAACACCATCACCTCACTCATCAAACCATCAACTTCTAATCACTGCTGACTTTGGGATTTATTCAAATAGGGATTTAGAAGTAAAAAAGATTCTGTATTCCATGGGAGGTGCCTGTTGGGGCTCGGGGCTTCAGTCCAGTTCCCACTGAAGCCCCGAGCCCCGGCAGGTGTGCCCCAACTCTCAAACTTCTGAAGATTGTTGTATGCAGCTCTCAGAGGTTCAGTAAGTTTGGCCACCCCGTTATAGACTTATAGGAGACAATTGCTGAATTGCTAGGTGGCTGATTCTTGGTGGTGGTTATGTACACTGAAGTATTAACCACTCTGACAAATTAACTTTTTAAAAAAGTACGTCCATGAATAACTTTATTAATAGCTACAATGGAGAATTCTTTTAAAAATGTCTCCTAGGAATAGTAGGTGTATGTTTGGATTGATATACAATACATGAAAGAGGATACACACAAAGGAAAACCCAGTCTAGATTCTACTCTCATCAAGTAAGACCAATCACTCATGAAGACTTTTATATCCTCACAGCTCTCATATCAAGCCTTTCTGTGCTCAGAATCTCTTACCTCTATATCATTTCTAGACTCTATTCTTGCATTAAAATACGTACTAAACAGTATATGTAATGAGAAGAGTTTAAAACCTGACATGCTTCAAGTCTGCAGTTTCTCATTAACCAAGTGGAGGTGTTCTGTTTCCTTTTGTTCCAATCACTCCTAATCCTTGAATTAAATAATAGCAAGGACATCGGTGGGATTAGATCCACTGTGTTTAATATCAGACTGTTGATCGGACATGCACCACACTGGACTCTGGATGCAATACGGCTAAGAACCTCTGAGGCAAGCCTTTTACCTTCAGGAGACTTGCAGTATTTGTTATGCCACCTCCAATTTAAATATTCAATTAAATAGAAACATTTTGGCTGGTTTGATCTGGGATCTAGTTTATTTTCAACTCTGTGTCTTGGCCTGGAAGCTGCTTGGTTTGTAGATGATCTGTGACAGTTTCCATATAGCTTCAAATATACGCTCCTGAAATGTAGGTTTCTGTGAATATCCTTTTACTAGCACCATATTAAACTGATAGACTAACAAAAATAAGTCTTCTATTTATGGTACCATTCCTTCACTTATGGGCTAACATTTTCTGTATAGTCTTGGACGAAGAACAAGTTGCAACTTGTAATTTATTAGGTAGAAACACAATTTCTGCTATGTTTCAGAGTAGCAGCCGTGTTAGTCTGTATCCGCAAAAAGAAGAACAGGAGGACTTGTGGCACCTTAGAGACTAACAAATTTATTAGATCATAAGCTTTCGTCGGCTAAAGCCCACTTGTTCGGATGCATGTACAATCGAAAATATTTAGAGGAAATATATATGCA